TTCCCTCAAGGAAATGAAGTATCCTTTTCACATTACTTTCTTCCTGTTTCATAAACACATGAATGAATGCATATGGAAGGCCCGTTGTGCTGAGGAATTTCTGAATAGAAACCTGGTCCACACAATTGTGAGACTGAGCACCTTACATATAGGTGTTCCATTAAAAGAACTAGAGAAACAACACTTTATAGAAGACCTCAGCACCAGGCATTTGACCCAGCCCTCTCAATTCACAGATAGGAAACTGAGGTCAAGGTGTGAGGTGACTTGCCCAAGATCATAACATTAGTGAGTAGTAGAGCTGGATCTGGAAATCACATTTCCTTTTTTGTAGGACATTGTTCTTGACCATGTACCATACTGCCAGCACTGCTGGGTCAAGCCATGAGTGGTTAGGTCAAGTTTAGTTGTAAATTAAAATATAAAGGGGGAAATATTGACCTGTTTTATACTTGGCTAGGTGTTTGTGCAATGAATCTGTGAAACGTGGAAGGAAGGTTAGAGTTCCAGATGCAGTGTTTTTCTTACTATCAACTTGTTTTTTAAAAATATATTTTTTATTGATTTCAGAGAGGAAGGGAGAGGGAGAGAGAGATAGAAACATGGATGATGAGAGAGAATCATTGATCAGCTGCCTCCTGCATGCCCCCACTGGGAATCGAGCCTGAAGCCTAGACATGTGCCCTGACTGGGAATTGAACCATGACCTCCTGGTTCACAGGTCGACACTCAACCACTGAGCCACGCCAGTTGGGCATTACTATCAACTCTTGCTGTCATTTAAGGTTTTGAAATTAAATGAATCCAATCCAGAAGCTTTGTTTTCTCAGAAGTCATTAGCAAGTAACAGTTTGCTTGGCTGATATCTTAAAAATGAGGACTGGCCTCTTTTCTAGCTTTGAATTTTAGGACACAGATTTGTGGAAGTATGTGATATTCAATTTCTGCTGTGTGGTTCCCAGAGTCCTGTCTCAATTTCTGGAACAGGTGGTCAGTCTGATGTGATTTATGGACGTGAGCCTGCAATGTAAACTGCTAAGTGCTGGGTCCAATGTGTACAAGATCTTTGTAATAATTGTTCTCACCCAGGAAGCTTTGGAAACTTGCCTAGGTGCATGCAGCTAGTTAGGATATTTGGAATTTTTGAAGCCTGGGGCCCATAGTGAAGGAAGGAGTGAAGGTGAGTCATGTTACTCATAGTAGTAGTCTTTTGTGTTCAGTGAGAGGTTATATAGGAGTCATGGGCAGGGAAATCATTTAAGTAGAGTGAAAGTAGCTTAGAGGACAAGCACATTTATGTAATGACTAAGTGACCTGGTGCACAGATTTGTGCACATTGAAAGGAAATAGAAGGTGGCCGGCAGGGCAGGACTGGGTGAGATGGGCTGCACACGTCCTGGAGGCAACCTCCCGCAGTCCCTCTCAGGCATCTGCAGAGTGAGCGGAGTCCCTCTGGCAGGTGGAGTCGCTCAGCCTGGCCTGCGGGAATGGGGCTGAAACTGGCTCTCTGACATCCCCCCAGGGGTCCCAGAGTGCGAGAGGGCACTCTGCAAAGTTGCTGTCATACAGGGTGTGGAATGCAAACGGAAGTGTGCAGTAAACCAGATTTGGGGCGACAGTGCCCCAGCAACAACATAAACCATGGCCAAAGGTGGAATCACGCAGCCCCACGAGGAGTCAGGCTCCCTCCTCTCTGGTTTCGGGGTGCATCACCTGAGAACCACCACTGCCAGGTCACTGCAGTTCAGTGGCTCCTGCGTTGACTGCCCCCTGGTGGTCAGTGTGCATCATAGCGACCAGTCAGATGGTTGGACACTTAACATATTTGCTGTTTATATATATAGATAAGTTTAGAAGAGCCCCGGAAGATGAGGCAAGTAGCTGAGAACTAAACCATGAAGGCAAGTCTCCTCCTTTTAGATAAGTTGAGACACAGAGCATTATGGCCCTCGCCAGTTTGGCTCAGGGGATAGGGATAGTCCCAAGGAAAAGAGTCCCTGGTTTGATTCTGGTCAAGGGCACATACCTTGGTTGAGGCTCAATCCCGGGCCTGATTGGGGCACGTGTGGGAGGCAACCAATCGATGTGTCTCTCTCACATTGATGTTTCTCCTCCTCCCTCTACTCTCTCTAAAAATCAATGGAAAAATATTGTTTTATGGATTAACAATAAAACAAAACAAAACAAAAAATAAAAAAAGAGCATTATGTAAAGGACAAATTGTCCATCATAAAATTTCTTGTGAATAATTATGACCTCCTAATTTCAGAGTTGATTTACTCAGGTTTGCTGTCTTTGTATGCATTTGTTACGGACATATTTCATCATTGGGAAAAATAAGACTATTCAGATAATTAAAAAGAAAGTCACTCCACATTTCCACTGCCAGGGGACAACTATTCTAAACATTTTCCTTCCATCCCAACTTTTAACCAGGCATACCTATGCATTTGTATGAATTTTTTTATAAAAATAACCATGTGATGTTACAGATCTACAGCACTATTCAGTTTCATAATAGTCCATCTAAAGATAAGTCATGGAATTTGAACTTTTGGGTTTTAGAAGGGTTTACAGTTTTCTTGTGACTACGAACAGTGCTTTAAAGCAGCAGTCGCCAACCTGTGGTCTGCGGACCACTGGTGGTCTGTGAGGTCCGAAAGGTTGGCAACCACTGCTCTAAAGAACAGCTCTTAAATACAGCTGTTGCACTGTTTTAATTTGTTTTTCGTTTATTATTTGTGAAGGGGAAGTTTTTGGCATTTGCTTTTCCTCTGGTAATTCTCCTTTGATACCATATTACTTGCCTAATTTTCCTATGGGGGGGGGGGCTCATCTTTTTTTTAAATTAAGGATAGTAACTCTTCCAAATAGACTTTTCCCAGTTTCCCTTGTTTGTTTGTGGTTTTTTTTTGACAGAATTGCTGAAATTCTACCCAGTCATATAATTTCTTTCTTCCTGGTTTCTGCCTTTGGTATTAAATTTAGAACAGCCTTCCTTACTCCAAGGTTATATACTTTCTCACCTGATTTTCTTTTATCTTTTATGTGATTTTGCCCTCTTGCATTTAAATCTCTTAACCCACTGTTTGGCTGAAGGCTGGAAATTGGGTTGTGACTAAATTGCTAAGCAGCTGTCCAAGGTAATTTGATTGATTCCCGATTGATTTGCAATGCCACTTTATCGATATGCTCAATTTTTATATGCATATACTCACTCACCCTTCATCCTGGTTCCAAGCTTTTTATTGGTTCCATTGACTTGTCTTTCTCTTCTTAGTTACGTACCATCCATAATACATTTTCTGTCTACATCTTTACAGTAATATACCACAATACTTAAATAGGTTTGTTTTGTCTTTATTCTATCTACATTTCATCACTATATTTTACTGCTATGAGAATTATATTTCAAAATTTTACTCTTCAAAAGTTTGACATTATTTATTCATTAGAATATTGAATAAATAGCTAATATGCTAAGTGTCTGACCATCTGAACCTTTTGCTTTGGAACTCCATAATAAATTCTTGGAAAAATTTTTGGATTGTCCTCATGTTGTCAGAAGAAATAATGTGCTCTGCAATTATTTATTCAGCAAATATTTATAGAACCTGTGTTATATGTAACTAGAAGCCTGGTGCATGAAAACCTGCATGGGTAGGGTCCCTAAGCCTGGTAGGCGATCAGGGCTGATCGGGGTCTTCTGGCTGCCAGCCGGAGCCTGCCTTCATTCCGTGCTGCCCCCTGGTGGTCAGTGCACTTCATAGTGAGTGATCAAACTCCCGGTCTTCCAGTCGAACTCCTGAGGGGACACTTTGCATATTAGCCTTTTATATATATAGATCATTTATCCATAAAGGCAGTGGATTTCTTAAAAAGGTATTTGAGCATTTTTTCTTTACTGGAACTGTTTACTTTTTGTGTCTCCGAAAGAATTTCTGTAGAAAGTTTCAGGCAAAAACTTAGGTAATACTTCTGTTTCCCATGAGTTCTTGCTTGTAGCCTGTAATGATTATGATGTCTCTACCTATAGAAATACCAGAAGATAAGTAGTCCGGAGATGGAACTGGGGAGGTTATGCATCAGCCATGAGATATAAAGACTGACTACTTTTGTTTCTCTCCTACACAGCTTTCTACAAGTTCTTATTCAAGTCAGAAATAGACACAATGATGTGGTTCCTACAATGGCACAAGGAGTGATTGAATACAAGGAGAAGTTTGGGTTTGATCCGTTCACTAGCAGTAACATCCAGTATTTTCTGGATCGCTTCTATACCAACCGCATCTCCTTCCGCATGCTTATTAACCAGCACAGTAAGTCGGGCTTTTGGTCCAGATTTGAAATGGTAATCAGAGTGATTTCTTCCATGTTTCCCTGTTATAGATCTGCATTTTTGTCTGTAGAAATTTCATTCCTAGTTAAGTTTTTTTTTCTAAGTAAATCCTATCTAGTAAAAAGCTATTCATTAGTATTCTTTGTTCAAATAAATCATTGAAAGATTTTTTGATGCTAAGCCTTTGCTGTCCCATTCCTGATGGGGGCGAAGGTCCAGCTTTAATGGCGCCGTATTAATCTCCAAACACTGTATGTGTCTCTGAGAGAATGTTCTAGTATTTTTTCCAGGTTATTGGATGGTTTCCTTTTTGGTTTTAAAAACATTGTTTCTGGGAATATTGAATTGGCATGTTGACAGTATGAGCAATTGGTCTTTTATGTCATAATGATCAGTGAAAACAGATTAAGTGAGTTATCAAACCATAATCCTGAGAGATTTAGTCCACTCTCCAGGCTGATAAGCAGATAAGGAAAAAAAAGCAACTAAAATTTTCTCCACAAAAAAAGTTGGGCTTATTTTTAGCATTGTCTCTTTGCCTGATTTCATAATTCCTTTGAAAAAAATACATCTTTATTGATTTCACAGAGGAAGGGAGAGGGAGAGAGGAATAGAAACATCAATGATGAGAGAGAATCATTGATTGGCTGCCCGCTGCAGGCCCCACACTGGGGATTGAGCCCACAACCCAGGCATGTGCTCTGACCAGGAATCGAACCATAATCTCCTGGTTCATAGGTCAGTGCTCAACCATTAAGCCACGCTGGCCGGGCTGATTTCATAATTCTTATGAAAAAACATCCACACATCTAGAGTCTAAATCATCCTCTTTACTGAGTCATAAAATGGATAATGTATCTTTATTTTACTAATTTTATTTATTTGGATAAATGAATGTTATACAGCTATTACGTGAAGGTTGGACCCCCTGGCAGTGGGCAAGGAGACACCAGATTGGTGGTGTCACTCTTATATCCATCAGGGGCAAAGCAGGCACACAGTCCTTAGTTCATTCTAGCTGATGACTGTGTTGTCAGCCAGCTGATTTATGCCTGGGCACATAAAAAAATAAATGTGGTTGGTTCTAAATGTATAGCTTTTAAAAATAGAAAGGTATGCTGTGTACCGAAACCAATATAATATTGAATGTCAACTGTAATTGAAAAAAATCATATTAGTTATAAGTAAAATATATAACTCTTCACAACAATAATCAAAGCATATCACTCTGATGATATGACAATAAAGGTAATTTATTTTTATTATTTTTAAAAATATATATTTTATTGATTTTTTACAGAGAGGAAGGGAGAGGGATAGAGAGTTAGAAACATCAATGAGAGAGAAACATCGATCAGCTGCCTCCTGCACACTCCCTACTGGGTAGGTGCCCGCAACCAAGGTACATGCCCTTGACCGGAATCGAACCTGGGACCCTTGCGTCTGCAGGCCGATGCTCTATCCACTGAGCCAAACCGGTTAGGGCTAATTTATTATTTTTTAAAAAGTATGACAATTTATAGGAGATTTGAAGGAAAAAAAGAACCTATATACTATTTAAACTATTTAGATAACTATAATGTCTTACTGACCTAAATCTGTGTCTGTGTATATATGTATATAATAATATTGAATGTCAACTGTAATTGAAAAAAATCATATTAGTTATAAGTAAAATATATAACTCTTCACAACAATAATCAAAGCATATCACTCTGATGATATGACAATAAAGGTAACAAGCAATGGAAAACAATTCTGCCTGATTTAAAAAGAAGGAATTGACTGGAGAGGTAGGATACAAGGGGAGGCCAGGAAGAGGGACCATTGGCAGAGTCTGACGTCTGAAATGCTCTGGTGAGGGCACTGCCACTGGCCCTGCTGACAGTGTCCCAACAGTAAAGCGACTGTCACTGCCCATCCCCGCCCCTGAACCTGTGCCATAAACTTCATCTCTACACCACTCACTGAAGGTACAAACGCTGGGGAGGAAAACCTGCTGGCAGAGAGTGGGCACAGCTCTGTCTGCCGTTGCTGCTGGGGTAGGGACTTGGCTTCCTGGGGCCTGTTCTGAAGATTCATGATATGTTCAGTCCATATAGGTCTGTGTATATATGTATATATTTTGTTTATTTTTTAATATGTTTTTATTGATTTCAGAGAGGAAGGGAGAGAGGGAGAGAGAGAGAGAAACATCAGTGATGAGAAAGAATCATTGATCGGCTGCCTCCTGCATACACCACACTGGGGATCGAACCGTGACATCCTGGTTCATAGGTTGATACTCAACTACTGAGCCACACTGGCCAGGCTATATGTACAGGTTTTTAGATCATGGACTAAGCTTGTCACTTCTGATTTTCTTTCACGTAATCAGTTGGAACTTTATGTATTGGCCTAGTGCTCATATTCAGAATTTTTATAATTTAAAATCTCCCCTATATTATTTAAGCATTCTCCTTTTGTGAAATCTAAGATGTTCCCAATTTTTGTTTGATTTAAAAATAACTATACCAAAAATAAATAAATCTTATATTTTTATCTATAAACACTGAAGTTAGATTACTTTTTCCTTTGGGGCTCCTTTTGGCTCTTGTTCAAAAGTAAAATTTGCCAATCTTGTGTATTTTGAAAGCATTTATACTTTTAAAAATACTTGAATGTTCCTGGCCAGGTGGCTCAGTTGGTTGGAGTGTCGTCCTATACACCAAAAGGTTGAGGGTTCGATTGCCAGTCAGGGCACATATCTAGGTTGCAGGTTTGATCCCCTTGTTGGGGTGCGTACGGAAGGCAACAGGCAACTGATCAATGTTCCTCTCTCTCCCGCCCTCTCTCTCCCAAATCAATAAACATATCCTTGGGTGAGGATAAAAAAATTAAAACTTCGGGGTTAAGGAAAATACTTGAACAAATATCATTTGTGTATACAACATTGAAAAATAATCTCCATGATGGAGGCATTTGAAATGTTCACAGTGAAGACATCTCACAAGCCTGGCCTAATGAGCAGGCTGTGTTTTCTAACTATTGAGTGAATGTTGGATTAAATGTCTGCACTAGTATTGAGAAGGTGGATTAAATTGAAAGCAAGTTTTTTCATCCAAGTTACATTGGGTCAGGAAGAAAGGATTGGACACCTGGCATGTGTCACTACTTTAGGACCTGCTGAGCGCTACTGACAGGTCTTAAAGCACATCCTTCCTTCTTCATTGTCCCCTCATCATATATTCAGGGTAGGGCAAAAGTAGGTTTACAGTTGTTGATAATGGAAAAGGATACAACAATAAAAAATAATACAAAAATGAACCCTGTTTTTCACATACAACTGTAAACCCACTTTTGCCCCACTCTGTATTCTGTTCCTTTAAGTCACTGTGGATGCTAAAATGATTCTTACAAACACGAGAATCCTCCATTTTTCTCTGCTTGACCATCCCAGCCTGCTTTGTTTATAATCTCTCCCTTCCCTTCTGTGTTTGTTTAGCGCTTTTGTTTGGTGGTGACACAAATCCTGCTCATCCTAAACACATCGGAAGTATCGATCCCACCTGCAACGTGGCTGATGTCGTGAAAGGTAAGGAGACCACTGTAATGTTTGCGATTGTACTTCAAATGATGTGGTGCTATAATGCAGCTTGGTGATAGGATTATGTTGCTGACTTGTTTGCCGAGTCCTCAGGCCACTCTGGGCCCAAGCTACTTCACCCAAATATGAAATGTTCTTTTTAGGCAGTTCAGGAAAAGATGCATAATTCGCGCTGCTCAAAATGGGAGTTTCTACTTCATTGACTAGGGTTTTACTTCTAGTTCTATCTTAAACCATGAACATTTGTCAGCCTAAGTAGGATTCTAAGTTTTGATCGCCACCAGTATCTGAAAATCTCAGAGGATGCAAACCTTTGTTATAAAATTTGGCTGAATTCACGTGTTTGTAAAATGGAAGCATCTTTTTGACGTGCACCCAGGCTTCAGAATCTACATGGCATGTGGGCTTCGTGGGGTCACTAGACATCGAGCTGGACTCTGTCCCAGTAGCCTTGGTGTAAAACAGAGCCCTAAATCCATAAGTCCCTATCCCCAGGTGCTTTGAATCTGAGCTGCAGTTTCCTTGTTATCCATTTAAGGTAGATGCCAGCTCCAGAAAACCTTCCTGGTTGCAAGTGATCTGCCAGGTTTCTAGACCTCTTTTTCAGTTGTTTTCAGGAGTACAGATACTCTGTGCAGCCTCACATTCCCAAATTGTCCCTTTCCAAGATGATACCTCCTATTGTGACCATCCTCTCCCTCTAAACACACACAAGGGTTCATGGCCACCACTCTCCTGGTCTTCACCAAGGATCTTTGTTGCTCTTCCATTTTCTGGACTGTGTAGCTAAGTCAGTAGGAAGTAGAAGAGGGCCTTGTCTGCTTGGTAAAGCTCTCAAGCCTACCTCAAGCAGAGTGACATTTGCTGCTGGAGTTAGAGCCAAGGGAGGTGGCCCAGTGTATGTAGCCTCCACACTGGAGGAACATCACACTATCAGCAGCCAGTGCTGCTTGTGTACCTTGCACATTTTTATTATAAATACTAGAGGCCCGGTGCATGAATTCATGCACGGGTAGGGTCCCTTGACCTGGCCACCGATTGGGGCTATCTGGGCCAGTCCTGATCGGGGCCGATCGGGGCCGGCCGGCCTGCCAGGGGGAGGGACCACAGGAGGTTGGCCGGCTGTGGGAGGTTGGCCGTGGGAACACACTGACAACCAGGGGGCAGCTCCTGCATTGAGCATCTGCCCCCTGGTGGTCAGTGCATGTCATAGCAACCAATTGTTTGGTCGCTTAGGCTTTTATATAGATAGATAGATATTTTTATTGATTTCAGAGAGGAAGGGATCAGCAGAGAGAGAGAGAGAAACATCAATGATGAGAAAGAATCACTGATTGGCTGCCTCCTGCACGTTCCACACTGGAGTTTGAGCCTGAAACCCAGGCATGTGCCCTGTCTGGGAATTGAATTGTGACCTCCTGGTTCATAGGTCAATGCCCAACCACTGAACAACACTGGCTGGGCTACTCTGGGCATTCTTTTTTAAAAAATACTAGTATATATACTTACCTGGCAGGGGAGATACCATGATCATGACGGTGGTTTTCCCAGGGCGAGGCTTACCCATTGCACTCCGGGTATGCTGACCCCTGCGATTTTCCCAAATGTGGGAAACTCAACTGCATAATTTGTGGTAGTGGGGGATTGCGTTCGTGCTCTCCCCTAAAAAAAATACTAGTATATTTTATTGATTTCAGAGAGGAAGGGAGAGGGAGAGAGAAATAGAAACATCAATGATGAAAGAGAATCATTGATTGGCTGCCTCCTGCATGCCCCACACCAGGGATCGAGCCTGCAACCCAGGCTTGTGCCCTGACCAGGAATCAAACTGTGACCTCCTGGTTTACAGGGTGATGCTCAACCACTGAGCCATGCTGGCTGGGCTACCCTGAGCATTATTAAATCCAGGGAAGAGGACCCAGCCTAGGGGCCTTTGCCCAGCCTAGAATTGCCAAGCTGTTCTGGCCTCTGTTTAATTAGGAAACATTCACTCAAATTATTTCCATTATAAGATGAATAGATCCAGCCTCAGCTCCCTAAGAATCCTACAGGTAACTCTCTCACAAGAGAAGCCTGTGGTTAATCATGACTCTGCAGGCCTCTGCGGGAGGGGCGGGGGCGGGGAGGGGGCAGGATTGGTCTTGGCATAGTTGTATGTTCATTAGACCGTAGCACAATGTCTTTTATGAATCAGAAAGCCAGGTTCGGATAGTTGACTGCCCTTACAAAAAAAAGGTGTGCATTCATAATGCAAAAGTGCATTATTATGTGCTGCGTGTGTGCCTTTTCTCTTGAACTGCAAGCAATTTGAGGTCAGGGTGTGTGTCTTAAACTTGTTTTGTAACTTACATGGAACTTAGTATATGCCTGTTAGATGGTCAATAAGTATTTCTTGGTTTGATAAATTTGAAACTCTTTGATGATTTTTTAAAAACAGCTTTATTGAGATATAATTCATATATATACTATATAATTCACCCACTTAAAGTGTACAATTCAGTGTGGGTTTTTTTTAGGATATTCACATAGTTGTACAGCCAGTGCCACAGTTCAATTTTAGAACATTTTCCCGAAAGAAACCCCATACCCTTAGCAGTCAATCCCCACTACCCCACTTCTCAAGACTAGGCAGCCACTAATCTACTTTTTGCTTATTCGGGACATTGCATGTGAATGGAATCATACAACATGTGGTCTTTTGTGTCTGGCTTCTTTCACTTAGCATAGTGTTTTCAAGGATCATCCATGTTTTTGCAGGCATTAGTACTTCATTCTTTTTTATAGCCCAGTAATACTCAGTTGAACGGATAAACCACATTTTGTTTATTCACCAGCTGATGGACATTTGGGTTAGCTGAGCGACTTTGGACGTGCTATGTAAACTCTTTGGGCCTCAGTTTCTTCATCTATAAAATGGTACATTCACCTGTATCATAGAGTTAAATGAGTCACTATATGCAGAGCTCCTAAAGCAGTGCTAGCACCCAGTCAGCGCTGTACACAAGTTTATAGCAGAAGTCCTTGGCCTCACACAAATCGTGTGGCTTCTCATTTATACCACTGATCATATAACACATTGGTGCCTTTACATTTGTTTTTGGCATAAAGTCTAAAATATTTTTAGAACTCATTTAGGACATTTATAAGACAACTGGATATTTGACATTCAAGAAAGATTGTTCATTTGTGTAGGTGTGATATTGGTATTGTGTGTGTGTGTTTTTTAAAGGAGTTCTAGCTTTGAGAGAGCTATTTCAAAACATTATGCATGGCATAAAATGACACATGGGATTTACTTTAAATTATACGGAGGGAGGGTAGTGAGAAAGATTTGGCATGTGTTGAACACTGGTGAAGCTAGTAATGGATTCTTTATTCTGCGGTCACTATTTCTTCACAAATAAAGTCTTCATTAGTTTTTAGGGAGGTTTTAGGGTCTTTTTTAATTAAAAAAATATTGATTTTAGAGAGGAAGAGCGAGGGAGAGAGTGAGAGAAAATCACTGATGAGAGAGAATCATTGATTGGCTGTCTCCTGCACACCCCTCAGCTGGGATCGAGCCCCCAACCCAGGCATGTGCCCTGACCGGGAATCAAACCGTGACCTCCTAGTTCATAGGTCGGCATTCAACCACTGAGCCATGCTGGCGGGGCAGTTTTTAGGGAGGTTTTAACCATGAATCAGTACAACTAGGTAAGCGACAGGGAGCTCTAGGCAACTGTTAGCCCTTCTGGATAGCAGAGGAATGAGCAGTGCTAAAGTGAGTCAGAGGCGTTGGAGAGGGTGAGGAGGAACCTGCTTCAACTTGCCTCTCAAGGCCAAAAGAATCTTGTTTTGCAGCGCTTGCTATCTGTACTGCTCTTATTGGACTTATTACCAACTACCCGGCCTTGACAGCTGTACTTCTGTTGGTCTCTCTAACTGGGGTGTAAAGTTCGAGAGGTCTGCAATTACTCTCACCCACGTGTGCATCACTCCTCTTAGGGACAGATTTTGTACCAAAAACCAGCTGAAGATCACGTGCAAAACAGTTCAGTCAATATTTGAAAGAAAGAAACCGAGAGTTCATGTCCACAGCCTGCCTCACAGCTTCCTGCTTCCTTTGTCCTGTGTAGTCATGATTTTGACCGCGGGCCAGATCCCCTTTCTCCTCCCTCTTCCTGTGCTGGCTCACAGCCTTATCTTCACTCTTTTTCTTGACCCTTTTGAGTTTTCACCCAGTGAGACCACTATTGCATAGTGAACAAAATTTACTCCACCCTATCATTTCATCATTTCTGCCACTTGTTTGGCATAACTTTTAAAATATATATATATATTTTTGTTGATTTCAGAGAGGAAGAGAGAGAGAGAGGTAGGAAACATCAGTGATGAGAGAGGATCATTGATCGGCTACCTCCTGTGCGCCCCAAACTGGGGATCGAGCCCGAAACCTGGGCATGAGTCATAGATCAATGCTCAACCACTGAGCCATGCCGGTCAGGCTGTTTGGCACAGCTTGAAGTCTGGCTTCCTGGCGAGACTGTGTCCAATAAAAGACACCTCCAGGTCCCTCTGCCACTCAGAATGCTACTTCCCTCAACACATGCATATGTATGCACACTCCTACCCCCGCACTCATGGAGGAAGGGGGGACTGGCATGTCCCCTGCTCCCCACTGCCTCTTTCAAGCCATGCTTTTCATTTCTCAACAGCCTCTTCCCTTAAGGAAAACAACAGTGGAGGATGGTTTCAGAGTCTCAAAATGCATAAACACAACAAGCAGCACCATGCAGTCAACTTCTCTGCCACCCTTCATTCTCTTCATAAATCACACCTACTGATACCCACAGCACACTAAGTGCACTGGCTTGTACATACTTTCTTGGATGCTGTTGTGTCCCATTTGGTAAGGCATATATTTTAGTAAAGGTCACTTATTTGTCCTCAAACCATTGGTATAAGTTATACCACCTGTCGTGACTACATAATTTATTAAAATACTAGGG